AGAGAAAGAGACCGAAATAATCTACGATGGACTTACGTGTGCAACGTTTATAGATATGGAAAATGCGATTTTAGACAACTAAAAGAGACATTTTGAAATAAACGAAATCTTCACAGAGAGATTCTCGTGCTTTCAAAGTTACTTTTGACGGTAGAACGAGTGGAAGGAATTTTGTTTTACGATCAAAAGCAAAACAGAGGTTCGCGTCTCGTACACTGGTATGTTCATAATGTCAAATTATACTCGATTACGAATTGTTTTTAATCATTTCTATAGATCGCCATTGCTTCTATTCTAGTAGTCGATAATTTCATTTTAAAACAATGGAGTTTAACGATTTAATTAAAAAATTTATTTTTTCCTCAAATTTATCATTTATTAAATTAATATAGATTATTTACTTTGAAATTTTATTAACCACGGAAACGAATTGATTTACATTTTGACACAGATAAAAGTTAAAAACAACAAAATATTGTTTAACTAAAGAGATTGGGTTCCTTTAAGGTATTTCTTACAATATATAGATCGATATTCACAATATTCGGACACAGTCGGTTCTTGTATTTAAGACTATCTTAAATACAGTCTTAAGATATCACAAGCCAATCATGGAACTGTAGCATCTCAAGACAGTACTTAAGACAGTCTTAAAGTAAGAATTATGAATATCAGCCATCATGGTATTTTCACGATTTTCGCGAACATCCAGTTACAACCCTCTTTACTCAACCATCCTCTTCCCATTCGCTCTTTCCATTTCCCAAGCGAGCACATCCCGGGACTTTTTCATTCATACGTCGCTCCTCAATATGCTAATAGTTCAATCCTACTTCGCCATATCGTCTAAATTACATTATCGTATTACATATAAATTCTCTTCTCTCTCTTTCTCTTTCTCGGTTGCCTCGCTTCCGCCGTCCTTCAATTCCCGATTTTACAATGCCAAGTCCCATCGCGTAACCCGCTCATACGATTGTGCCCAAACGACTTTCTCCGATTTTCTACGTTTCCTCATTTCCCATTTTCATCGGCTCCAGTAATACTCGCAACTTCAGGAAACCCAACGCCTATAGCCACACGAGAACTGTATGTTAGCGTCACGCGAGTCACGCGGTGAAATATATGTATATACGAAACACACAGACAATAGATCGCCACAATTACATCTCTATATACTCGCGACCACTCTCTAACAATAATTATACACGAAAATACGAGAAAATATGTTGTTGAATATTGATCCGTTCATTGGAGAATATTTCGCTTGTATCGTCAAGGCTGCTATCAAAGAGTTCGCTTAATGATGTACGGACTGATTAATATTCGACAAATACTGCGATAATCCGTGAGGTCCGCAATCGATTTCCTTCCGTTCGCATTCAAATTTACGTCCATCCGTTTTCCATTAACGCACGCTCAGCCGAGACATTAACCGCAACGAACGCGAAAGAATTACTTTTTCGAGCGACGATAATACTGTACAGCGCGACGAGATAAGCGGAATAATAGAAAGCTGGAACACAATGTTAAATGGCGAAAAAAATCTGCGGCATCTAATCGAGTCTTTTTTTTTCTTCCCGAAAAATCGATCCCGATGTGACACGCGCACGTGTATATATAATGTGTATTCGCGGAATAAAAATTGACGTTGCAATTACGCGTATGTTGTCGAGAATGGGATCAAGTTCGCGTTCAATAGAGATGCCAGGACGAACCGACGGGTAGCTCGTGCTGGAACACGTTAAATAATTACTGGTATCAGTGGTAGTAATTGTCGGTTATCGCAATATAGCGATAGCACGCAGTTAAATAATGATCGGCCATTATTGTAGCAATTCGAGAAAGACGAGACGTTTCCATCCGCCGTACCGGAGTCGATGGCAGAAAGACGGCGAAATAAAATATAACGGAGAAAGAGAGAAAGGATGTAGAACGAGAGTGAGAGGGATGTACTGCGATGTACTGCGATGTACTGCGATGTACTGCGATGTACTGCGATTTCACGGCTGAGACGCACGAGAGAATCCGCAGTCACGCTTCGTGATTCTCCCTGTATCTCTCTTCTCTTCTCTTCTCTCCTTGATCCAAGGAAAAAAGAAACGGAAAGCTTTATTTCACTCTCGTGTCGAAACTGGTTATTCAGACGTTACAGCGACTTACATTAATCCCGCGCTGTAACGGTTGGCATTAATTGAATTCTCCAGAAAAGGCACAAGGAAAATTTAATGTCTGGGAAAACCGCGTCTCAAAGCGACATAATATATTTACCTCACGTATAATTACCTCATCTTGCAAAATATGAAATGTAATTCGCCATGGACAAGAGAGAGATACTCCGTCAATATTATTCGCGTTTTCACGCGTCGCAACAAAAACTATGGTTGGCTATTATTGTAAGAGCAGGTATCGACACTAGCTATACTCTCTGCGATTAAATAATAGTATTAAACGGAATTACACAACAATCACGCGAGAAAATATGCGCAATTTTAATGACACATCATTTCAATTTCATTAACCGTCCAGGTGATATAATTAAAAGCCTCATGCGGTACCTTTCACTGCAGTTAGAGAATCGTCGTGCATTTCCGACACTTGATTATCATCAAGTAATCTCTCGAGACTCGCGCAGGATATAAATAGCGAATCTAATTGAATGAAAACGGCACGAAGGGAATAATTGACTCTAGTAAGGCAATCGCGAATTTCCTCGTCTTCGCTCGTCCCCGACTCATTCGAATGCGGTGCGGGTGCGAGGATCGAGCGACGGATATATCTTATCCTTACCGCGATCGGGTAAGGAAGCATATTTTGAATGCACGAATTTCGCACGGCGACGATGGAAAAGCGAAGAAACTGGAGAGGATTGTACGACGCATTATCCTAACGCCAACCCGGTCTTTCCCGGAATACGAAGAACAATGCCGATCTTATCGGAGATCCATACACGAATAGAAAATGCGGGACTTTCGTAATTAACTACTAAAAAAATAGTATAATAACATTATAATTCAGGCCTGTCCAATTTTAGCTCCGGAATCAAAACGCAAAGCCATTGACGCAAAAGATTCAATGTGAATAAGATTTCAGAGACTGCAAAGTGTTGATAAGCGACGCTCAGACGTGTATCAGCACTTTACAGTCCCCGAAATCTTATCCACATTGACTTTTTTTTGCATCAGCTTTGCGTTTTGGCACTGGAGGTAACAGATCTGTTATTAGCACAATTTGCAAAATATTGATTTGCTACCCTTGAAATTTATGCGATGTCGCTGGTATGAATGTATCGATTCATTTAAACGTAATTTACACGCTATAGAGGATAATACACTCAGAAAAATGTCTGATTGAATTAATTCTGGATAAAAATGCACAAATAAAAATTTTCTAATCTTCTAATTTAAATCTTCTAATTAAAATAATTGAAATTCTTGATATAATTAGAATCTTTTGGTTCGTCCACTTTCAACATTTTTCTCAATATATTATTGTGATAAATTAATTATAATTTACCACCACATTTAATAACCAACACATAAGACTGTATTGCCTGGCTCTAACTTCATCGGGTTCTCTCAAGTTTCCGAATAGAATAATTCTCAGAGTAAAAACGATTTTATCAACTCACCTTGACACGGAGGTAAATTACTCTACGATCAACGCCAGCTTTCTACCCGTCTGAAACACAAAACACAACAAAGTTACGACCGGTTTGCCACAATTAACGACGTGAGCTCAGCAAGACGAGACTATCTGCCAAACTGTCGTTTTTGGAGGAGACACGCGCATGTATTGTGGAACTTTCTAAATTGCGAAAATTGCGAAACACTCCGCATACACTCGCGGTATACAAAACATGTCGAGAGACGCACATTTATTTTCATTCCAATAACGCGCTGAATGTTATTGACTTGAACGTACTTTGCTCGCAAGGCGTTCAACTCCTAATAGCCTTACATACAATATATTATTTACAGTTCTAAGAATTGAGAAACGCGTCTTAATTGTCCATAAAGAATCGCAAATTCACGACAATGAAAAGGACAAAAATAAGATAAATCGTAAAGAGTTAACCATGTTGGATTTATGAATAATGCGTCACTTAATCGCGAGAGAGACAAAAACTTATAGAATCCTCGTGATGTGTCTCGTGCGAGTTTTTTTTTCTCCGAAACGGACTAAGTCACCCCGGCGCCGAAACAACAGTATGTCTATACAGACGAGACTAGTTACAATGGCGTACGATAATGAAATAACTTAATTTCGCTCCGGCAAACACATAGATCAACCGAGAGGGGTCGGCAGTGACAGTGCTGACTGCCGCTAGTGGTGGTGGTGATGGTGGTGGTGGCTGAAAGCGAGCGAATCCGATGCAAAATACGCGCTCGAGCAACGAAAAGTGTTGAGGCTCAAAGTACACTGTAATCCACTTTGTGAATTTGCAATCTGCTACTCTACGACGTATCTTTTTCAACCGAATCGCAAGCGAGCTGAGTCGATCGATTTAAGTACTCTCGAGAACAATCGAAATACAAGAAAAATGAACGAAAGAAAAATCAATCCACTCATCTTCCTAATAAGTCAACGATTTCGAAATATTATACATAAAAAAACATGTATTTGCAAAATCCTACACTGGTTCGGCTAAAGCTAGAAAGATAGGTATAGAAAATACAAGATTATTTTATTATTTTATAACTCTCTAATATCTCAAATGATAAAGCTTGATTAAGAAATGAAATAATTCAATAAAAATGTTATCCAAAAATGATATTATTAATACATATATATATATATA